GGTGGGGCTCCTTGAGACGGTGCAGTGGAGATTGACTAGACTGTCCCAGGGTGTGGGGGAGGGAAAGGGTCTGTAGCCCAGATTAGTTCAGAGGAACCAGGGTGGGGGCCTTCAAGTTAAGGAGGTCAGGGTGAGATTTATTCCAGGTGTACAGGACGATGATGGGATTTGATCAGCTGGTTCTCACCAGCTCATGGTACGCAGACAATAGGGGAGCAGACAGATTTATGGTTTTGGGCAAGTGTTAGGGGTTGGAGGGGTGGGGGTAGGGGTTTGGGCAGGAGAAAGAATTTTTTTTCCCCACAGAGTGAATGGTAATGAGGCGGAACTCTGCCTGTGAGGGTGATGGAAGTTTCAGAAGGAGGAAATGTCATGGACGTTTGAAGGAATTAATCCTGCAGGCCACAGGCAAAGAAACCTGGATGATAGAAGCAGGCGTAGGCTATTCGACTCCTCGAGTCTCTCTCGCTGTTGAATATGACCATGGCTGATCATTGAGCTCAATACCCTAATCCTAACCTCCCCTGCATATTCTTTGATCCCTTTAGCCACAACAGTTATATCTGCCTCCTCCTTGAAAATACAACGTTTTGGTCTCAACCACTTTGTGGTAGTGAATTCGACAGGCTCACCACTCTCTGGTGAAGAACTTTCTCCTCATCTCAGTCCTAACAAGATTACCCCTTATCCTTAAACTATGACCATTGGTTCTGGACTCCCCTCCCCATCAGGAACATCCTTCCTGTACCTAACCTGCCCAGTCCCGTTGGAGTTCTATAGGTTCCTATGAGATCCGCACTCAGAACAACGCATCTCAGCTGCTGCGAGCTATGTACTGCATCCTCAGTCAGGTGTCTGTGGTTGGAGTGAGCCATCCGTGTACTTGCAGGAGCCTTTGGAGAAGTCTGGCTATCTGCTGAAGATGGGAGGCCAGGTCAGGACATGGAAGAGACGGTGGTTTGTGCTGAGAAATGGAGAGATCCTGTACTACAAGTCACCAGTGAGTACCCCAAGACAGAGCCTTTCCTATTGGAAGCAGTTGAATTTGACATTTTGGAGGTCCATTAAATTCCCAACAAAATCTTGCATTTTATTTCCTTTCTCCCACAGAGTGATGTCATCCGGAAGCCACAGGGTCGGATCGAGCTCAGCTCCTCATGTCGTATCATTCGGGGCGAAGGAGCACAAACCTTCCAGGTTAGAGCCTCCTGTCTCTATAGAGTGTGATAGGAAGAATGTTGAAGTTGTGTGTGTGTGTGTGTGTGTGTGTGTGTGTGTGTGTGTGTGTGTGATTGTGTGTGTGTGTGATTGTGTGTGTGTGTGTGTGTGTGTGTGT